CGTGTTCGGCTGTTATGGCTGCCAAAAGGGAAGCCGGTTCCTTCACCAGACTCTGTAGTGAAAGTTGAATGAAAAATGAGGACATGACATTCCTATGTGCAGTTAAGGCAGGTTATTGAGACATGAAGGATAAACACAGCCAGAGGCTTCTGGGAGGGTCCAGACTGAACTGGGCTATGAGGTTGGGGGGAGGGGGCAAGTGGACCAAGAGAAATCCAGGAGCAGAGCCAGCCAGCAGCCAAGAGAGTACTACCAAAGTGGTTGAGTTATGTAGGGATGAGAAACTGGGGGAGGGGAGGGGAGTGCAGCATCAGCCCCTGGTAGTGGCCTGTGAGAAGTGCTGGGAGGAGCCATGCTACTGAGTGAGACTTGACCTTGTCTTTTTGGGACCTGACAGAAGTGCTAATGAGGCTCTCACAGGAGACTCCATGGATATGGCTCAAGTAGGGTCTGCCCTGGCTAGAGTCCTGAGTCCTACAGAAAACACCTGCTGAACAGACCATTTGGTCTGAGACGACTGCTTTTTTCCTGCAAGATCAAAGTGTGCTACACTGAGAGAATGGAGAGACCTGCCCAGAGGCCTACAGATCACAGGAGGCTGGCACAGCACAGCCTTCACAGCACCCTCTCCGCCCCCACCCCCCACAAACACGCACACAGGGCAGGTGGACAGTAAGCAATTCCCTTACCCTAAGTCCCTCAGTTTTGCAAGGGTGCATACCTTTCCTTGCTGCATTGCACCCAGCAGAGCCATTGTTCTCTGTGTCCTGGCCACCAAGCTGATCACAGGGATTCCTCCTAAATCCTTTGTTCTGGAACCTTCTGCATTTTCCCTCCTGCTGTGAGTCAATTTTACACTCCAGCTTGAATCCTTAACAAGCCTAAGACAGGGAAACCTTTGTGCTTGTCTTCCTCAAAATGCAGCTCCACCCTTTGTCATGCACTTCGTGGCTGAAGCCTTACACTACACACCTAAATTCCTCATTGCTGTGTATTGTCCTTGAGAGTGACAGGAAGTCCTCCTGGGATGATTGAAGGTCAGACCATCAAATAAGAAAGGCTTCCAGTGGATAAACAGCCCTTAACAACACAGTTTGCTGGTTTGTGCTCTCCACATGGGGAACAGGTCTAGGCTATCACCAGAATTCCCAGCCTGGGAGGTTCCTGGACATGTAGGCTTATATGAGAGGCCGGAGAGCATCCCAGTCCAGCTTGATTAATCGCTGGTCATTGATAGAAACTGGCTCTTCTTGTCTGTGTACAGGAAGCTGGTGAGTATTGCTGGAGAAAACTACAAATGTGTACAGTTCTGGTGACATGCACACCACTGCTCTGTGTATTGGAGACCATCTGCTCAGCACTTAGTGCCTGAGCACTGAACCCTGGTCCCACGCCAGCTGGAATTTCTTCCGTGAACCTCAAATTTCCCTTGCTATGGTGACTGCCAGTGCCACTGTGTGCTTCTTGTGTGACCTTATAAAAGACACCAGAGCCCTTCAGTGGGAGGAAAAAGTGAGGAGGGTATTATTGGAGGGTATTGCAGTAGCAGGTCACCCTTTTAAAGTCTGCAGGGGATGGCTGCGAAAACCAAGAGTTTCCCCACAAACTGCAGCTGCCTTTCCTAGACTTCCTCAGATGATGTGCACAGCATTGTGAGAATAAAGGCCAACTTTCCCCTCAACCAGTTTCCATAGCAAAGGCAGTACACAGAACAGGCTGGCACCTGCGAAGTCTCCACCAGCCAATCCAAAATTCTCCTGGGAATTTTGATTTATCTTGAGTGTTTATCTTGGCCAGGAGACCGTTCCTTCTCACATCACACAGGATTGCAACAGTTACCCCATCTCCCACAGTGCCCATTCCACATACGTTGGGGATATGGAAGGAGGGGGGATGTCCCTTGGACATATGATGCCTGTGCTCCATGGAGTGTGACTGCTCAGCCCTTGAGGAGGAACCATGTCTTGTTAGACCCCAGGAAAACTCAGGCCTCCGGGGTCTCAGCCCAGGACCGTGGTCCCCTCAATCACCAAGTGGATTCGAAAGCTTGTTGCAAACTGCATGAGGCATTATTATTACGAGCTAACCCCATGTTAGCTCCGGTCTTTCACCCACCCGCCATGGCGGGTGGCTAGCAAAGACAGCTCGAAGGGGCTGCATAGAGATCTTACAGGGCAGCATAAGGGGAGTGTCTAGGGGTACGCACAGCCTCAGGATTGGTGTGCCTCCAGGCTTGGAGGGCTTGCCCTGTGTTGATTGGCCAACTGGTTGTTATGGCCCGTAGGCCCTCCCAGGGTGGTTGCTATGCTCTGCGTGTCATTGCTGTGTGCTTCTCTGTAAAGCACACCCAGAGCCGTAAAGCATAGCACCACCAGCTAACTTCTGATTGGTTCCTTGCCACGAGGGAGGCACCTAACCTCTACTGACCAAGGCAAGGTCAGAAAAGCACGTGTTACTGTCATGGCTGCTGAAAGGGGCAGGCATCTGACCTTAGTGACTAAGACAAGGTCAGACAAATACGTGTTCGACTGTTGTGGCTGCTGAAATGGGGAGCTGGTCTCTTCAGTCTGATGTCATTCCGTCTTGCCTGATGAGAGAAATCCTTCACACCTTCTCAGCCCAGAGTCTCTGGTTTTTCTCCAAAAGTACAGAGAAAATGCTAGAACGTGATGATGTATGCTTATAATCATAGCATTCAAAGGGCTGAGATAAGATTGTTGCTAGTTGAAGGCTGGTCCAGGCTACATAGTAAAATTCTGGGAGAATGCCCAGCATCTTGTCTTCCAGTAGCTACATGGCGTCTCACTGGCGGCTTCTCTCTATGTCCTCTCCAAATTCTCATCGATGGTAGCCCCACCTGTACTCGCTGCCTGGCTACTGGCCAATCGGTGTTTTATTCATCACCAATATATTAACAGCATACAGAAGGACATCCCCATCAGAAACTTACATTGATGGGCAAAGTATGGTGTGGAAAGATGATAAAAGAATGAGATGTCAGGACCTCCCTTTGTTAGAAATTTAGCTCATGCAGAGCCACTGGGGTGTCTTATTAAACCAGCATTAAACACAAATAAAGTCTATAAAGATATATAATGTAAATATTGTATTATGCCAGAAAATTGAATACTAACTGTTGCATGTAAAATAAAAGACCCAGAGAGAGATATTTGGGTTTAAGCTTCAAGTTGAAGATCAGAGAAACAAAGCAGCCAAGCCAGTAGATCTTACTCTACCCAACCGAGGCAAAAGCTCTCCGATCCTGTCTTTTCCTCCTTATATGCCTTTCTCCACCCAGCCATAGCACTCCTGTCTCCACCTCCCTAGTGTGATCCTGCAGCAGCTTTGGCCTGAAGACTTTTCTTGGGCACTCTGGCTATTAAGAGTTAACAGTAAACTGTTTGGGACATGGAAAACTGCCTAGGCTGGCTTGCACATTTTCTTCTACTTGGTATCCTTGAAGCTGCAAAAGCTGGCAGCCTGAGAATGATCTATCATATGCCTCTAAATACTTAAAAATTGTGTTAATGGGGTTAATGAGTAAAATGATTGTAAAAGATAACTGTTTATCAATGATGACAAAACTTGAAGACGAATGATTGTAAACGATAACTCTGCTGACACTGGTCATCAATGATGACTAAAGTTATGACCCCAGATGTGCAAGACGAAAAGTTAAAGCACATGTCCCAAAACAAAATGATATGATCTATGTTCTGAAACATACAAATCTATCCCTGATTATTGAATTCTGTATAAATAAGGAAGTACTCTGAATGCTAGTCAGTCAGGCTACAAGAGTCTCTCAACCATCATGCCTAGCTCATCTCTCCCCACCCCCACCCTCCAAACTACTTACTCTCCTCTCTGCGACCTGGCCACACCAGGGCTGGCCCCCAGCAACCTGTCTTCCACTCTGGATGTCTGACTCCCTCCCTGCCTCACTGGTGTCTCATCTGACTTCCCAACTAACCTCTCGTGCCTAGCTATGGCCATTCAGCTTTTTAGTAAACCAGCCACAGTGTGCAAACAGATATCCCACAACATTCTCCTTTTTTGCCTAAGTAAAATGAAAGGTTTTTTACACTAACACAGTAAAACTACATGCACTAAGAACAATTATCAACTAATGATAATTCACAATGTCCATTCCATTTGTATTTGGCAAATTTGGAGAAACTACTTTATTATCTATCCTATCTTGGTGAGTTCAAAGTTTTATACCTGAAACACTGTCTATCATAACTTGTCTTACCTATCTAAAATATCTTTTTAGATCTTAAAACATTTTCGTAGATAAATAACTTAAGCTTTTATATCTCTTAACCATTAAACTTTACATCTCTTTTGTAAGTTTCTGTTTTTGAATTTAGTGACAAGGAAAATGGTATAACTACCTAATTCTTCAACCCTATCATAGACCCAAGAAGGATAAAATATTCCCTGAGTAAACAGGAATTGTAGAGTAAATAACTTTGAAAACTATAGAAATGACAGGAACAGCTGGCTTCCAGGACAGTCACCCAAGATTCCTCTGCAACATTGGGGCATCCATCTTCGGCCTATGGGCCTAGAATATCTGACAGACTTTTCTGTGAAGCAGGAACTTTGAAGGACTGTGCCGCCTCATCGTAGCAAAGCTTGGTAGTTGCTTTCTTTTGTGTTCTGCTTGTCCAGTTTGAACAGCATACTGTCAGTAGTTGAGACTAACTTTGCCACAATGAAAGCAAACCCCATATGGAGGTTCTTTGATGCACATCATCTTTTTTTTTTTTTTAAGTAAATCAGTGCTGCCAGGAGCAGATATTTCTCAATGTCATAAAAAGCCTTATGTTATTAAAATACCTTAAATGTCATATTGTTCAGGTCCCTGAAGTGTTTCAATACCATCTATATATCTAAACTATATCTCTGATTGACCTTGAAAACATTAATATGGCTACAAGTTTGCTTATTATAGATGACTGACTGCTAACCTGCATTTCTTAATTTTTCCAAATAGTTTGTAGTAATAAGTTTTCAAGGACTAGAATTTTGTATTACATTGTTAAACAAGCTACATAAGTACAGCATCTTAAACAGGAATAGAAACATATATACAGTATAACAAAAATAACCTTAAATTTGTATCAATATACAAAAATACCACCGGGTGTTGGTGGCGCAAGCCTTTAATCCCAGCACTCCGGAGGCAGAGGCAGGTGGATCTGTGAGTTCAAAGACAGCCTGGTCTACACAGCAAGTTCCAGGACAGGCTCCAAAGCAATACAGAGAAACCCTGTCTTGAAAAACAAAAACAAAACAAAATTAAAACTCAAAGCACCATACAGGATCCAGATGCCATGTGTATTTCCCATCCTTATATGGGTTATTCTTTCTATATTACTTTACTTTCTTTTTAAAAACTATTATTTTAAAACTTTTAAAATGGCTGTCTATACCCATTTTAATTTTTTATAACATCTGAACACATTTTTAAGCATACTGTACCTGTTCAGAGTTCTTTTCAGTCCGGTCCTGGCTTTACATTGCAGCATTCTTTGACCATGTGAGCCAAGCCTTAAAAAGCCAGGCTACATGTTTCTGACCAGACAAGACGGGATGGTTGTATGCAGAAATACTGCAGACCATGGCTCTGGGAACATGTTGCAGGCCCTTCTGTGCATACATAGGCTCCTTTTGTGGCTCTTCTTAGCACACAGTGCAGGTGGTTGCCTCTGCCCTCTTTGGGTCCACAGGCACCGAGTGCCAGGTGTCCCAGGGGTGCCTAACTGTCCCAGCTCTGGGAAGTTGTTGAGCAGAGTCCCTGCAAGTGACAGCTGACTGTCCTGAGTGCTTATAGAGAGGTCCAGGTAGTCAGGCAGCAACTTTGGTGGCCCTGGAAGTTGAATGACTTGCGTGTGGTCCTGTCATGCTTTATAGAGCGAAATGTGGTTGGACTTTGTCAGATTTTGTCTTGGGAACTGCAAGATCCCAAGTAATGACATCAATACTTATTAATTATAAAAGCCTGGCCTTTAATTTAGGCTTGTTCCCAATTAGGTCTTATAACTTAATTAACCTGTTTCTGTTAATCTTTGTTTTGCCATGTTGCTTTTAACTTGTCTTTTATTATATGTGTCCGACTACTTCCATGTCTGACCGGGGTCTCCTCATACACCTAGATTCATCCCAAGTTCCTCTCTCTGCCTGGGTGTCTTGCTTAATCTCTCCTGCCTAGCTGTTGGCCATTCAGCTTTTTATTAAAACAATCACAGTGACACATCTTCACACAGTGTAAACAAATACCCTGCAGCAGACCACACATCTCTCTATTTTTCAGTCTTGTCTCCCTTAAGATGTGTTTTAAAGTTGGTTTCTTTGGGTTAAGAATCTTAAATCTAAGTGTAGTTTATACCCATGGATTAAATAATCACAGATCGCATTTTTCTGCTTTCCCTCATATCCTAAATGAAACTTTTTTTTTGTTATTCAGACTGTGGCTTGAATTATAGTTTTCTATAGTCTAGAGTTATCTCCTCACTAACTCTACCTACTACCAAGTCAGTACCTCCCCCCACCCCCCCGCATCCCTACATCTTTTCCTTTGGCCAGCAGAGACCCGCATCATTTCTTGAATGAATATTAGTGACCCAACTTTAAAAACCTTGCTGACCCTTTCAGCCAACCTGCCACACACTGCCAGTCATTCAAGATTCTTCTGTGTGTTGTTAGTCCTGTGTTGTTAGTCCTGCTTTTGGGATAGATTGGTATAGTTTGGCACAAGTGGCCCATCATAATTAGGTCCCTGTGCACTGTTTCTTGGGTTCTTTCTGCTGTGAGCACAATCCGTTTGAAATGTCTTGTGTGTCTCACTCTGCCCTCAGATGTGCCTTTCAACATGCCCTTTTGTTGGCCTTGCAAACATTCTCATGACGTCTCTCCTTCCTCGTGTCTCCATGCCCGTCGTTGTACTTGCTCCATTTTGTCCTAGTCCAGCCCTTGCCTGTAAAGCCCTGGGCTCCTGGATTGTAGCATCATTCACTGTTATATTCTATGATAAGACTAAACTTAAGACTTTACTATGTACTTTATTAATTACAAAATTTTAAAAATCTTTTTTTTTTTTAATAGTTCATTAAAGTTTATTGTGCCTTGGTGACTGTTACTGAAAGTGAACTACTCAAGATGGAATCTCATGAATATCTGAATGTTATTAAAGTTCATATTGTATTTATTTTGAAATATTTTAATGTACTCCTTGTAGCTATAATGATCCAGCCTTCTATGAAGAATGCAAATTGGAATATCTCAAGGAAAGGGAAGAATTCAGAAAAACTGGAATTCCTACTAAGAAGAGACTACAGAAGCTTCCTACAAGCATGTAGGCAAGTAGTGAGTCAGGGAGTCACATCTATGGAAGCCACTTGTAACATAAGCCAGAAATGATGGACTGAAACAATGTTTGCTCACCCTAATCATGAAAATACCAATTCTTTTTTTTTTTTTTTTGAAATAAAAATCTTTATTTCCAAGTTCTAGTTTATTAAATATGGGATAGAGGAAAAACTAAAAGGGATATTTTCCTGTTTTTTGTTTTTTTTTTTTTTTCATTTAAAACCAAGTTCTTCCACAACTCTTGCAATCACAGTGCTAACGGTCTTCGAATTCCTTATGTACATTACTTTCCTCTTATTATGCAGGCTGATGGCTAGTGTAGGATGAATGTACTAAAGCAAAGGAACCAAGCCTTACCCTGCTCATGGTAACTAGACTGCAAAGCACAACAGCTGTTAGCCAGAGCCTTCTTCCTTCAACACTTAGTGTGCTGCTGTGGACCTAAGTCTCAGTGACTGTGACAACTTTTATAGCGCTGCCAGAACGTGTGCATGTAGGCAAGGCTTAGGCTCCACATGGCCTTATTTGAAAGTATTGATGAGGTTAGTCAATTAATTTTCTGAAACCTTTGGTGAAACATTCTGCAGTATGTTTCTTGATCTCTTCAACTTTTTATAATCTTTGATTTTAAGAGGGTCATGTTAAGTGTAAACTTCTGTTTTGTAACATTGGTGATTCAGGAGGTACTGTGCTAAGTTTCTGCTCCAGTGTGTTAATTTGGGCCTAGGCTGGGCCTTATTTATTTAATTTTTTAAAAAGCTATTTTTTTTTTTTTTAAAGAAAGACGAGATTTAGCTTTGGCTCCAATCCCATGAAAATTTTTTCTCATTCAAATGAAATGAGCCATGAATGCATGTCAAGTTTCACACAGTACTCACCAAATAACTATTTTACTCATTTGAAACTCAAAGAATCCATTCTGGCAGACCACAGATCAACAAAAGGTGGCCAGAGGCCAAAGCAGATTCAACACTGTAAGTGCAGAGGTTGCACTGCAGCACGGGCAGAGAGGCGGGCAGCCTGTTCCTCCTGTGCAGACAGGTTGGCGCTGGTGCATTTTCTAATGCACAGGGCTATAGTTGTTTTCAGTGACTCAAACAAAAGGTATAGCAGTTACTGAAAGAATCGAGTGAAGTAGTAACAAGATTTTTGTTGTGTGTCAAAGTTATGTTCATATTCACCTCTTGTACCTACTGCAGACATTATCTTTGGCATATTGGGTTTCAACTGCTGCGCATCCATAGTGCAGGTTAACCTTGACCTACATTCCCATTCAGTTTTATTTTGGCCTCAATATAAGAATCTTAAAGTTTTTTTCCCCCCTCAGACTAATGGGGGGGGGGAGGACAGATGACTGTTAATTGTATTCTTTGTATCACTGACTTACAGATGTGCTTAAAATCCTTACCATGAGAAATCTAGCTATTACAGACAATTTCAAGGGAAGCTCTTTAGAGTGTTAGCTAATGTGAAAAGGACCAACAAAAATGTCAATTTTAATGAATCACAAAATACAGATGGTCCCATGCCACCTCTTCAACCACAGGGTTGACTAAGTGTATACTTAAACTTTGTTTTCTGACTGGGTAAAATATTTTGGCCTTTACCTTCTCTAGCTAAGGGGGTCTTACACAGTCATTAACACTTTAACTATTAAGCACATCAATCAAACTGTTCTAGTATTCCTTTTTGATAACTGTTACTACTGGGTAGAGGAAATATGTTTGAGAAATAAAATTAATATCAGACCGGAAATCTATACAGGCAAGGAGAGTATTTCACATCCAATTCCATTTTAAAAACAAAAATAATTTTAATTAAAACAATTTCTTGGCATTGTTCAAAACATTATAAGACTCTCTTTACAAAGGAAAACTTCTAATCTTGGTTTAAAAAAAGGCAAACCAGTAAGCTACATTAGACACGAGATGATAGATATCCTCTGCAGCCACATGAGAAATGTCTCTGCTTTCTTATTACACAGGTAGTTAGTTCCTTCAGCTAAAGCCTGGAATCTCGGATTTGTTTTATGCATATTGGGTCTTGCTGTGTTACTTGGCAGGAGCCTGTACTCCCTTGAGTACAGAAAGCATTCCAGCATCTGACATCAATTCCATTAATCATGGACAGGCATGAATAAGTGAGTGAGATAATACCAATACAGAAATAACTGGTGAATAGTGAACACTGCTGGGCTATGTATGATATGAGAGCTGAGATAGATCTTTAAAGTCAGGATATATGAAATGCCATTTAGATAGGGATAAAGTCTTACATCAAACAGGTAATACATAATTACTAATACTCTTAATGCTTCAACCCTGAAGAAATTAAGATGAATTTTCACATGAAGCCACCTTTGTTATTGCTTTACTTATTTACAAGTGACTGGCCAATCAGAATGAATTTGGAGACATTTCATAATTAGACAGCACAAAATTTAGTTCTAGATGCAGTTAATTAAAAATCACTTTCTCAGTGTCACAGTCTAACAAAATATAAGCTGCTCTGTGTAAAACCAGCAGCTGTCCTGCTGCAAATGACCACACAGTGACACACAAGAGGAACTCATTATGACTCACCGAAGAGACTGCCCTGTGAGATGCCCTTTCTACTTTTAACTGGATGTTGTATAAGTTTATATAGTTTATTCATATACTACATCATTTTAAACTATTTAGGATTTGAATATACTGGGGAGAAGTTGGCTCCAATGGTCAAGTATTAGAATTCAAATTGCATTTTAAAATTATATACACATCTTACTTAGAAATGATTTTAAATCTTAAACACTAGCATAGACATAATAATCTACTTTTATTCCATTATATTTCAGATCTGTATGTATCAGGAAGTCACAGAAGCACAGCCTAGTCACACTGTCATTGCTTCTTGATACAATTGGAAGCAGCAGACATGGTTTTATATTAATAAAGGTTGCTTTTTAATTTAATGAATATGTATTTAGGGAGGTCACATACTTATAAAACCATGTCTAAAATTTCCATTCTTAAACCAAGAAGCAAAAACTTTAGTTGTTTTCTACGGTGTAACTGGAGTTTCTCACACTGGAACTGCAACTACATAATGTTGTACAGAATGTACAAATGTACACATTGGAGAACTCTGCAAGATTCTAATCAAAGTCTGCTTCAGTCTGAATAATCTCTGCGAGAACCAGTTCAAGGTAGTGTTCTCCTGTTCAAATGGTGAGTCCCATCAAGTTAGCTTTTGTAAAGGCAGTTCTGATTATGCTGGTCCAAGTAGTGCAGTGGTGGCAGGTTGGATAAAGGGAAGGTTTTGTTTTTATTCTCACCAAATGTTGTCTCACTTGACTTAGGAGGGCTTGGGAATACCCAAGAATTATCATCCAGAGAATTTCGGCCGTAAGAGTTGTGCTCCTGAAAGTCGGTACCATCATTAGGAATCAGTCTCTCATTATCTGTCCATGACTGAAGAACTGCTTTGTCTGATAAAACCTTTGTATCTCCGGGTAAAGTGGAGGGTGGAGCATAACAAGTAGCTTTGCCATTTGGTGACAAAGGGGGATATCTTTTGTATGTTGCAGTGAAATTTGTCAAGTGCAATTTTGCGAGGTCTTTCCCAAGGTCTTCAACACATCCTGCTGGGGTGCAGGCTAAAAAGAAAGCATAGGCTACGTGTCAGTTTTCTAGCATTTGTGACTGTAAACATGTCATACACCAACTTTGCAACTGACACTAAAATGAACATTTCCAATTCAGTATGGTCACTGGGAAACTGATTTGGAAGTACTTCACAGACTTGAATTCTGATAGATCCCATACTTACTGACAGGGACTTAAGCTCACTCAACTGCTTCCTCTGTAGAATGGATGCAGGAATCTCCCTGCTGTGTCCTCCTGCTGATCAAGAGTCTAGCAGTGGTGTAAAAGGTGTTATCTCTTTACAAGATGAACACAAGTAAAGCTCTTGGCCTTTCGTGTAGCTAGTGAGGTCTTTAGACCTTAGTGGTGTCAGTGGGGACCTAGAAAACCTTACAATTAGTAGGTTTTAAATATATGCTTTTGTTATTCAAACATCTCCATGGAAGAGGGTCCAAATGGAATTTATCTTTATAAATATACTTTGAATTCTAGAAAAGACTGCTAGGAGATTATTATTTAGCTATGTCTAGCATACAGGCAACAGTAGCATCTTTTATTCTTCTCATTCAATCTGCCACGGTTGAAAGCTACATTTTTTTTCTTCAACCTAAGGATGACCAAAAAAGGCTTAGCTCCATGCAACCTATATTTTATTTTTATGTGTGTGTATGCTTGTGAGCATGAGAATACAGGTACACACACATGAGCATGAAGGTCAGAGGACAACTCTCCAGAGTTGGTTCTTTGCTTCCACCCTGAGTTCCAGGTGAACACAGGTCCTCAAGCTTGTAGGTGAGCCCTTCTACTTGCTGAGCCATCTTGCTGGGCCAACTCATGTAATTTTAGAAGAAACAACTTGAAACATTTGGGTGGAGGAGTAGGAAGGGTGAATAGTTAAAAAACTGAAAGTAATTAATTCTTCTAATAGTGATGGGCAGGTCAAGGGTAAGTGAGCCATAAACCTTTCTACTTAAAACAATGAGCTTTAGGGACTGGTGACTATTGGTCACTTGGACTTCCAAGTGTCCAAGGAAATGTTCTAGAGATTGATAGGGCAAAGGCATCAAAAGACTGTGTTCTCAGCCAATTAAGAAGGAAGACAGGATGGAAAAAGCTCTTCTTTATTATGCTTTGGAACACACTATTTGTGATATAAGTAGTTGTATCGACAGAGAAGTCTTATTTCTGCCATCTACCTAAGGTATCTTCATAATTAAGCCTCACCACTGAAAACAAGGGCAAGGTGAACTATAAATCAAGCTGTTTGCTTACCACCACATTAATCTGCCTGATTCTTAAGTACCCAACCCTGCAGAAATCAAAAGAAACTTTGAATTGTCTTTCCCCCAATGTGAAACATTTTCCCTTGCAAACACTCCTGAGAATAGTTATAAAACAATTTTTCCTGTTCTCTCTTACGACAATCAGAGGTACAAATAACAATTTTAAATTAGATACTGACCACCTTTCAAAGACCACGACATTCCTCTGAAAGTAAAATTTAAGGCATTAAATGAAAACTGTTATGTTTCAAATGTAAACCTATACGCAATGTGAGGTGCAAACATACTCATTGTTTTCTAACAAAAACAGCTCTGGCAAAAGTACCTACTACTAGCTAACATAAAACTCAAAAAAGCTTCAGCCAAACAGTGGAAATAAAAAGAAAGCAATGAAAAATTTTGGTTGAGTCTGCCTTCAAATCAGACATCCTGTATGGAAAAGGAAGTCTATTCAAAGATTGTCAGGAACTAAATGAATCAAGAGTTGTTTTGAAAATAAAAAGCTAGGCCTTTGGTATACTTCATAGCACTGAAATGAAACTTTAGTTTGGAGTTCTTTTTAAACATATATAGTTGTGGTAAAAGGCCAGCTAGAGCAAACCTAACACCTTGGCCTTACACACATAAGCAACACTTGGCTGAGAAAAGCCACAAGGGGAAAAGAATATAGTACTGAAGAAAAAACACCAGCAACACCTTTATGTGTGAAGCTGACCAGCTAGAGACTGAAGCCAAAGCAGGGAATGGGTGTGCAGTGTGCACACTGCATACAGCCTGCTTATCAAAGTCGTAGGATAGATTTTGATAAGATAAAGTAGCTAGCTGTTCTTCAAGCAGTTTGGCTGGAATCAGCATTTCCAGCCAGCAGTGACTTGCCTTTCTTGATTGCAGCTGAGGTTTTCAGCTTTCTGAGTAGCTCTGCTTGCACTTGTGTTACCAGATGTAAGTTAGACATCTCTCTCTTCAGTTCCCAGTATGCATGTTGCATATTATCACTGAAACGGAATTTTAAAAAAATGTTACAATGGCCCTTTTTATGCGTAAAGGGGAATAACGTTATAATACAAATAAGCAGGTTTATATTTATATTATTTTATGACACTATAAATGAAACTAAAAAATATTTAATTGGGAGTGAAAAACAGCTAGAGATAACATTACCCCAATTTCAATAATAGTGTATAATAAACATATCATGATAAACACTCTAACCAGTGTTTCTTACTGGCTCTTAGAACCAAGGATTTATTTTAACAGGAATATTCAGCGCTGTTAATTAGTAACTAGTAAGGAATATGTTCTTCCTTTGTCAATTCTGATCAAGAATAAAATTGCATTCATTCATGTGTGGTTTCTGAGTCTGTCTTTATCTTTGGATTGTTCTGACACTGTGAAATGAAGGGATGAGTAGATACCCAAGACCACATTAAGACAAAGTTGAGGTTTCATGCATTACATTCTTTATGTCTGACTGGGCTGTCTCATACTGTTGCCTCTAAACCAATGTGACATGACAGCACAAGACATGAGTAGTCACATGATTTCCTCATAACGAAGCAGCAGCTAGAGAAGCAGATTATAGGAAACAAAACTTCAAAATGCCTTTCCATAGTTTTATAATTAAAAGGATTTTACCTCAGAATCTGAAACTGTTTATATCTAATTTTAAAAGCTTTATTTTCCATTAAATCCTCTTAGGCTCATGATTTTCTTTAGTTTCTTAATTGCCAACTAAACGAACTGAAATCTTCAGCACACACTCTTGTTTTCCTGCACAGTGATACACGAATTATTCATTGTAAGAACTGACTTCATAATATTAGAACAACCACTATTACAAGTTCGAGAATGTAAGTACTATGGAAATTAAACAAACATGCTACCTCATCTTTATTTTTTTTCTAATAAACAAAACTTAAACTTCAATGGGATAACCTTGAAATTTGAATCTAGTATCTAATGACAAAAGCAATAGATATTTAAAGACAATTATGATAAATTGTGTGAGGTAAAATTTTACCTTTTCTGACAAAGTATTTCTACCCTATTTGGCCTGCAACTCTTGTATTATAAACAGTACAGCAAACTATACTGCTCAGAAGAAAAATCTCATATTTTAAATATCATTGGTTAACCTTTGTTGTATTTAACCAGTTCTACTTCAGAACCAGTAAACACGAAGAGATGTTTTTTATAGTGACTGTTTCATAACAAAGTCTGTCTTCAGGGTGAAGGAAACTGCTGGTTCCATGTTCAATTCTGGGCATTCGATGTTTTTCAGAGTCACTCAAATTATAAAGCAGTAAGTTAAGCACTGTACTATACTAATTCAGGCACACAGACATGAATAATAGAGTCTGAAAATAGTTTGTTATTGTTATAAGATGGTGATTCTATACCTGTTACAAAAAATATTCATGATGATACTTGGATACTCAAACGCCAATTCCCATGTACGTCAAGTAAAAGATGATTATAAAGGTATTAGTACCAATATCCAAAGTACATGTTAAAAATTCAATTCAATGAGGATTGTTTGAAAATAAGGGTAAGATGAAACTTCATCACCAAAATTACCTTTTTGTCCTTTGCTCTTAGTGTCACCCACACTAAAACTACACATTAAAGAGTAGCTCAAGAGTGCTTACTGCTCTTGCAGAGAATCAGGGTTCAGTTCCTAGCATCCAATCGCCTGGAACTCCAGTTCCAGGGACCCAGTGCCCTCCTCTGGCTTCTGCATACCCACAGTCCTCATAAACTCATGCAAGCTCACACATAAAAAGGTTGTTTTAAAACCCTAAGATGATGGGTTGGCAGGCAGGTGACCTGAGTTTAACTCCTGGAACCAAGCTAAGAGTGACGCTGAGACTTGCACTAGGCTATCTCTGACCACCACACAGGCTCCATACAGACACTGGTCCACACTGCCACCCCAGTATCTAACATTATTACTATTTACAGCTCTTCCTCTTGTGGGTAACAGCATCCAAGTGTTGTAATCTTTAAAATGTGTGAACAAATTTGAAGCCATTAAATAAGAATGAAAAAGCAAGTTATCTCTCGAATTCTTAGCAGAGTTCCAGGCAATCCTTATGAGTATTGGGTGTTTTATCACATGGTTTTGAGGCTATACATGGACTGCATACCATTTTGCCCTACTTTCTTAAATGGGAGCATAAACCTACCTTGCTTTAAATGACATAAAACTACATTTCATGTATATAGTTAGCAGCCTCTAAAGAACTTATATATAAGTTTCTTGAGTATATAAATGATAGTTACTCTACTTGAGAGCCCTGAAAAACAACATATAAGAACTATGATGGCTGGGCTGGAGAGATAGATGGCTCAGAGATTAAGAGCACTGTTTGCTCTTTCAGAGGTCCTAAGTTCAATTCCCAGCAACTACACAGTGGGTCACAACCATCTATAATGAGATCTGGTGCCCTCTTCTAGCACACACTGTGCACATAATAAACAAATAAATAAATAAATAAATAAATAAATAAATCTTATAAAAATAATAATAATAATCTTATAAAAATAATAATGATGGCCAGGCATTGGTGGTGCACACCTTTAATCCAAGCACTCCCAGGATAGGCTCCAAAGCTACACAGAGAAACCCTGTCTCAAACCTCCCCTCCCCCACCAAAAAAAATGATGGCTAAGCATTCATTATGTGCTAGGCACTTAACTGCATTCTCATACCATCCTGGGAAAATGGCTGTGTGGGCTACTTTTATGTTAGCTTGACACAAGGTAGAGTCACTGGAGAGGAGGGAGCCTTAACTGGAAAAAAAAAAAAAAGTTCCTCCATAGGATGAGGCTGAAGGCAAGCTTGTAGTACACTTTCTTAATTAGTGACTGTCATGAGAGGGCCCAGTCCGTTATGGGTGGGGCCACCTGTGGGCAGGTGGTCCTGGGTTCTAAGAATTTGGGCTGGGCATGCTGCTGCCTCTAGGATTCTGCTCTGTTTGAGTTCCTCTCCTGGCTTCTTCGATGAACAGTGATGTGGAAGTGTAAGCCACATAACTCCTTCCCTCCCCAAGCTGCTTTGGTCATGTTTCATTGTAGTAACAGTAACCCTAGCTAGGACATGGGAGATTTGTTTTGCACACGAGATTAGCTCAGGAGTCAACTCGGCTCCACAAGGTCACTTCTTCAAAGCTGTGTCACTTGTGTAAGTACTGATCACACTGCCCTGTTAGGGACCACATTTTCTTATATTAAATGGATGAGCTATCCCTCCAGCCCAAGGGAGCACATTTCCTACAGGCATTGTCATATGCATACCAAAGTACCTGTAAAGGGACTGATGTCCACACAGATATGCTTTAGCTTGAGTTCAAACTTCCACCCGCTATCTCTGGCATTATGGAATTTACTTGTCTGGATCTCAAGATCGCATTATATGTATGGTTTAGAGAGTACTGTGAAGTCCTGTTCTCTTGACCGACACTATGTATCAGCCTTTTTGTAAATGAATACAGCTCATGAAAAAAAAAAAACAAAAAAACTACTAACGAATGATCCCACTTCAGACATAATAATTTTCTTTAGTGCTGAAAATTTACTATATTCCCTTAAAGCAGTGGTTTCAATCTGGAAGTTGTGACATATCAGATATTTACATTATGATTCATAATAGTAGAAAAATTATAGTTATGAAATAGCAACAAAATAATTTCATGGTTAGGGGTCACTTCAACACCAGGAATTACTAAGGTTGAAGCATTAGTAAGGTTGTGTACCACTGCCTTAAAGCAACTAAAATAAATGTACGGTATTTGTTACAGATTTAAAAGACATTTACTTTGACAATTTCTCTATAACAACTGTCTTTCAAATATTTTTGATAAGTATGGCATAGCAGATCAATTCCAGCCTACTGCTAAGTAACAGTTAAATCGTTTCTATAAATCTATGATAGCCAGCGATTACAGCCAGCACCCAGAGTAAAGTAAAAAAACCACATCAGAAAGGTAGAAAGCACACAGGGGACCTGTGGAGAAGGCCTTGATGTGGACCATCTTCCTCCCTCGACAGGCTCCGTCTGATGAGATCTCTGTCCTGAGGAATGTTTTCCTGAGGTGGACCCTGTCATGTGTTTAACAAAGAAGAAAAGGAATTATTTCAATTTTTCTCAGTTCACCATCACAGATGTTTCAACATACACAGAATACATTTATTAATTGTATAAAGTGTAAGACTAGATTTCAGACTCAACTTTAATGAAATACTGCCCCCTATCCCCAAAATGTTTAAATCACTTTCAGTTACTTGGAGCATTCATGCTTTCATTTTCCTTTACAACATAGTCTCGTGAGTTTGGAATGCTATAAAACACACTCTTGAATATACCAGAAATGCAATACATCCATTACATTACTGTTTACGGTACCGGCATGAATTGTATGCAACATGGGAGTTTCTTTGGCATTTCTTACTGCTCTACAAAAAGCCAGCAAAAATTGGACAAGTTACTGTTTTAAGCACCAAGTCATCCTTTCAACTCCAAATTATTTCCTTTTATTTTATGTGCATTGCCAGCATGTATGTCTGTGTGAGATGTCAGGTCCCCTGGAACTGGAGTTATAGACAGTTGTGAGCTGCCCTGTCGATGCTGGGAATTGAACCCGGGTCCTCTGAAAGAGTAGCCAGTGCTCTTAATAATAGTTACTGTTTTAAGACAGCATATATTTCCTCGTAAAATGACTGACCTGGCAAGAACTATCCTGTGTGTACAAACATTTTGGTCTTTATTTTCAAAATCTGTATAAGCAATTGATTCCAATTTCAGGAAATGCAATTATAGGTTTTTTTTTGATTTTTCGAGACAGGGTTTCTCTGTGACTTTGAGACTATCCTGGAACTAGCTCTTGTAGACCAGGCTGGTCTTGAACTCACAGAGATCTGCCTGCCTCTGCCTCCCCGAGTGCTGGGACTAAAGGTGTGCGCCACCACCACTGGCTGCAATTACATCTTTAAAAAAAAACCATGAACTATGCTTTAATAGTGTTCCCATTTGATAAATGCTACTAAGTTTTACTTATTTTTCATCAAATGCATATGGACCCACTAATTTTACTTTTCCTCGCTGTGGGTAAAGGAAAGACTAAATAGGTTACATACACTGTATTATTTTAACAAACATTGTGTTATATCAGAAAGAACCATTTTCAGTAAATGTAGGAGAGGTTTCTTGTTGTCCCCTCGGGACCTGTTTTCATCTTCTTCACTGATAACAAGAGAGTTTGATTTAGGGTTTGTCACTATGTCACCAGCTCAAGACTATATTTCCCAAATTCCCTTGTAAGGTGTGGCCTCGGCAAGAACTTCTTAAAAGTCCCCACACCCTTTACAGTTTCAGTTATTTATACCATAGGTGTAACAAAACAAAACAACCAACCAAAAAAACTCCACACCTATAAAAGATACTTTTAAATAAACCTAATATATTCACCATCTTCTGTGTCACACTTATTCACAATGCATCTTCATTCAAGAGTCTATAATGAACATTAATCTCACAAGTATTAATTAGTCTATCAGCAGGAATTGCTGGTATAAGCTGAACAAACAAAATTTTATTATTCGGTATTATTTACATTACAATACTTGGGAGACTGAGGAGGACTGCCACAAGTCTGAGGACAGCCTGAGCTACATAGTAGTTCTGGGCTAACACGGGATACAGAGTAAGGCTCTGTCTCAAAAATTAGCATCTAAATGCTATGATAAGCTGTAGGACCTCACGAATACCCTACATCTGACAGACCACACTACGGGATTTAAAACAGCTTGGGGCCCCTGACTTTACAGTGACAAAATGCATTTTGTACAGTCCTATGGAGAAGGAGAAACAATGGGCAGTGAATGAGGGAGGCATCCTTGGGGTTGTTCTTTACTGTTCTCCATGGGAAATAAAACACCCCCTCTGGTGTTTGTGTGATTGTTAGTATATACTTAAAACATACGTGTTAACTGGAAACCGTCTCTTTAAAGCCAAAAATACAAAGACAAATCTTGTTAGGATAAGAAAGTAGTTTTGCACCTACTGATACTGCAGAAAAGTTGAATGCAAATCAGCAAAAGTACAAATTCCCAAAAGGATTGTTCCTAACACACAAAAACTCCACATGGCAAGTGAGCAGGCTTTGCTGTCTGGAAGACCACACTCTTGGGGATTCACGGCAGGGTCCCCGTGGCCCCGCACTACAGCTTTCTTGGACTTTTAGTCACTGCACACTGCAAGGACTCTACACTGGCTGTTTATTTTGACCTACTGTTTTTTTATACCACTTTGGCTGAGTCTGTACTCAGAATCAACTGTTCTGAATGTAAATGGCTAGATAAGTGGCTGGAAAAGGCCAGCAGAGCTGTCTTCGAAATGCTGGCCTTCCTAACAACAAACACAGGCTGCCGCATCAGCTGAATAGTCAAAAGCAGACTGTTACTAGGGTGACCACAAAGGATACTGATTGCTACACACCCCAGCAAGAACCTTAAGGTATGTGTCACATGAAATAATGTCTTAGCATTTAAAGATACGGACCAAGTGGGTGGGTACAGGCCAGTTATTAATGTGAACATAAACTTTCTTTGGCTCATTCACATAAGACATTATGGTTTTAACCTGGGAAACCTTGAGGAAATGCCACTTCAGCTCTTCTTAGTTTGTTTCTTAATTTTAGTTACGGGTTTTTCACTGTCAGGATCACATGACCATGAAACAGTATTCAGTTCTTCTCAACCTTTCAACATTCCTATCTCACATAAAACTATTAAAGGTTTCTTGCTGCTCAGAATTAATGACTTTATCAGTTTAAACTGATGAAGCTTCTAAAAGTTTCTTGTACTTCTAGTAACCTGTTTCTCTGAACTGCTAGCATATGACAGATACAAACTAAAAGGACATTTATTCCTTAGCACCACCTAGTGGACAGAGTAAGTAGTAAGAACTGCAACCTGACCCTCCACACCCCATACACAGACACTGCCTTTCTGAATTACTCTAAACAGGTTTGTTTATTTTAATGTATGTACTGAATATACTCTGTCCAGGTACTATGCTAACCTCTTTATAAAACCCTAACTTAACATTTATGAAAAGAGAGGTATTTAATGCTCATAGAAAAGAAATTTTCTGAAAATTAAATGACACTCCTAATTTCCATATTAAAAAAAAAAAAAACACACACACACACAATAGGCCAGATTCCCATGAACACATTGTACTGTTTCTCACTCTTCAGTGAAAAACTCTTATGTATAAAATGTAAGCACACTTTATGTATAAAAGCTATCAAATTATGTCCTTTCAAGAAGGGTGTACACACAATGATTCCAAGCTTTGGAGTGCAAATCTCTTGCAAGCCAGCAGCTAATTTCAAAGGGTCTTGTTAGTCGCTGTAGTCACTGAGCTTGCACAACAGAATGCCGAAGCTTGAAGAAACGGTGTTGTGTAGCCAACCACAAGTTTAAAGGTAGGACAGTAATGTTTTATGCAGTTGAGTAACAGAAACAGAAACCATTTGGGCTCTAAGTAGACAGCAGTTTTTGTGGGGCTTTCTTTTATCAGATCCAGGGTTCCTCACACAGCTTCTGTTGTGCAGTGCAGATGGTGAGTCAGGTGGGAGCAGAGCGCTGTGGCAGCTCACATGCGCTCAGTCTCTGCTGCGGGCCACTGACAGACTACATTACAGAAGAAAAGAGCAAGCAGCGTCTCAGGCATTTGGGACATGGTAAGTAGCTCCCCTGTTAGATGGTGACCTCTAGAGGAACGTGGACAGAGTCCTTAGCAGTATGCAAGGCTTTGGTGGGCAAATGGTTGAGCTGAGGATTAAAATAAATGTAAAATATTTTGGTACCATTTCTCCTACTCCCCAGCTTCATCTGAAAACTTAGCTTCTGTTTGAATCCAGTGGTAAACAGACTCCTGGAGAGGAACTGAGAGGCACTTTGTGTGAATGGCTGACTTTAGGCTCATCACACTAAGGCAGCAGACTTGGCAGATGTTTTTCGTGTTGATTTTCCTAATTCTTGAATTCTCAAATGCTTTCTGAGTCTTCTGAAAAGAAACAGGCTATGTAAGGCTTCCTTTGTTAGTGGTTAAGTTTTTTGTTTGTTTGCTTGTTTTTCAAGAATTCTACACTACAGGTTCCCCTACATTATCTCTTGTGTCTAAACTAACCAATTGTTAGGTTAAATAAAATGGAAAAGTTAAAACTAAGTTCTCTTTAAAATTTTCAGACACACTCAAAATGAGAGAACTCTAAGGAAAGGAAGTTTGGAAAAAATGAAAATACCCCATGGTGGTTGAATGGCTCGTATATTTGATTGCTTGGTCTGCTGTTGATATTACTGTTTGGGAAGGACTGGGAAGTAAGGCCTTGTGGGAGGAGTGTGTCATGAGGGGTGTTATGGGGGGTGGAATTTGAGGTTTAACAAGCCCATGGGATTCCCAGATAGCTCTCTCTTTCTCTCTGCCTTGTGCCTGTGAATCAGATGTAAACTCTCACCTATTGCTCTATGAGCATGCCTGCCTGCCTGCTGCCATGCTCCCTGCCCAACACATGGAGTCAAACCTTCTGGAACCTAGAGTCTCCAAATTAAATGCTATCTTTTATAAACTCCCTTGGTAATGGTGTTTTGTCACACAACAGAAAAGTAACTACGATATAACCAATATACATTTCAAATCAAGTCTTAAAACTATATTCTGGGGGGCTGGAGTGATGGCTCCGAGGTTAAGAGCACTGGCTGCTCTTCCAGAGGTCCTGAGTTCAATACCCGGCAACCACATGGTGACTCACAGTCATCTGTAATGCGACCTGGGGCAGAACACAGTGTTCTGGCCTGGGCAGAACACTGTATACATAATAAATAAATAATTATAAAAAAAACCCCAAAACCATATTCTGGGGTGAGACTCTATAGAGTATATGAAATGTTAGCAGCAATGAACATTCTATGATTATAATTAATTAGACCTATGATGTATACTTAGTTACAAAACCTATATATGATGCACAAAGTACATGGAAGTTCTCAATTTAATGACTGTGAAGTACCGTCTGTTTGGCTTTCTGTAGCTCTATTTTGAGGTCGTGGCATTCTTTCCTCATTACTTCCAGCTCTTGTTCCAAACCATGGATCTTCAAGTCAAGGCTTAACTTTTCCACCTCCCAGTTGGATGAGGGTGGATTTAAATTCCTCATTACTAGAAAATGGATAGACAATAAAAATAGTTATCTTTGCTTTTTAATACCAATTATAGTTCCTAGCTGATATTGATAAAACGTCAACAAATAACCAGCACAAAATATACATAAATATTAAGGCTCAGCATCATGTACTCCATCAAAGGTTGCAATCTGACTGACAGGTCTAGAATGCATGTCAAACAATTTTAGTCATAAACACCTGACTACGGAAACTTAATACAGCTGGATCCTACATTATCTTTGACTTAGTCCTTCATTTCTCCATCTCCAAAAAGCCCCAACCATTTACCTGGAAAGATCTCACATTAATTTCCTACCCAAAGGTCTCTCAATAGGCAATTATTGAAACTGCTTATCTCATGAGACTGCTGATGGGAACAAGACTATTATCTATAACTCCCAGCTAAACTTTCCATTTCAACACCTCATCTATACATTTCATCAAATTTCAGGAAGAAAAAAAAATTAAGAGACAATGAAGCTACTCCATGACAATGTGTTAAGTAAGTGTGGGCAATAAGGTTAGTATGAAGGCCAAGTCAGTAGATAGCAGTGGGTGAGTGTTCTGGGGAGGAGGGGGATGTTTTTATGTCTTTTCCCTTCTACTTCATCACATACTATCCTTGAATAAAAACATCTCATCTGTAGGAAAAGTACAAGTTTCAGCTAAAGAAAAGGTAGTAAGATATTGTGTAAAAAGGAACAGAAAGAGTTAAGCCTTTATCATACAGATACAGGAACTGATTATGACTATAGCACACCAATGGAAAGACTGATTCATTAGAACATTCGTAACAAGTAAGTGGCATACCCTGCTGAGTTTCCACCTCTGTTCTTAGCTGCAGAAGCTCTACTTCTTTAGACTGTAGCTGCTCATTCAATACTTTCAAAGATTCAGTGTTGTCTTTATTCTAGTTAAGTAGGGAAAATGCCAAATTACAGTCAATAAAATCTCTAGGTTTGTCTTATATCTTACTTTTTAGGTCAATACTGAATAAACCTCATTCTAACTTTCAAAAGCAAGGTGGGAAAACGAACCCTGATTCTCACTAATCTTTTTGTTTCTTTCTTAGGATATCATTGCTCACTGGATCAAAACAAAACAAATCAAAACAAAACAAAACACTCACAAATGAGTAATTCAACCTTGTCATGACTTTTTCCAAAGTAAGTTAGTGGTGCTTAGAAGGCTCTAAGTCCTTACCATCATTAAATACTAAGTATTTATTTTTGTATATTAGTGGAAATAGAATTAAAATGTCCATATGCCATGAACATATATATTTTGTTTAATTAATAAATGTAAACATTTAATCTTTTAATTCTAAACTTCTTGCAAGACAAAATAATTAAAATATAAAGTATTATTTTCAAATCAACTTACTATTTTCTCCAATTTGTTCTTCAAATTGTCTCTATCAATGCAAACCTCTCGATATGCATGATAGGCCTTATTCACTTGCTCTCGTCCCACAGAACTTGTTTCTTCATCTACTCGCGCGCCAACAAGCTAATAGTATGAGATTAGGGGGAGAAATCTTCAGTGGGTAGTCTTCAGAATCAAGGGATTCCATCTTCTGGTGGCTCTGTATCTTACTCTAACCACTGCACTGCAAGGATAAGTCTACCTCTGCCTATAATTCAGTAAACATTTCACTCTTAACACAATCTTCATCAAGAAGCCAAATAGTGCAGGGGAAAAAAAAGCAAACACCTATGTTTTCTGCTGTTCAATAATCTGTGCTTTGTACTATCTGCTTTATAATAAACTTAATCATCACACTATATAGTACAGCATATTGTCTTGGAACTGTCTGGGTATTTTTCAAGTCTACAGTATCTAATTTCTATCATCAGAAAAGTATCAAATCACACTCAACTTCTTAAGAAGTAGACATGCCATTTCATTAAATCCTGCATTATTCCAGCAATTGAAATTAATAGGATTGATGATAATAAAGTACAGATTTTGTATGTTGACTACATACTAATTCCGTGATTCTATTGAATTTTAGATGCATAACCATTAGTTGTAAAGTTACCTTTGGTAATTTACCTCAAAATATCATAAATATACTTAACTACTAAGTTAAAATTAACGAGACGAAATTATGATAATACTAATAAATGACTTCCTTGTTTTACCACCCATCCTCAAGTTTTTAAATACAGGGAAATTTCTTATGAACTTATTTCTTTTATCATTTGTGGAAGCTCTTGTTTTTGTAAGATACAAATATAATTCTGATTAGAAATATAAACTAATTAAAACCTCTAAATGCCATTAAAAAAGGGGCAACCAAGAAAAATTCCAACATATAAAATCAAGTCAAGTCTGATGATTTAGACTACATTTTAGCTACCTCATATAATATTCAGAAATTAACACTCAGCATGGAAAAGTCCTTTTCATTGTCAGCTCAAAGGAAATTTCTGAGGAAATCAAAGAGAACACCCAAGAAAAGGGTCTAGTCCTGGTAAAGAGCCTGCTAAACACAGTGAAGCAATGGCAGAAAAGGGCCCCCTTTGAGTTTCATTTACTAGTGTTTTATTATTCTGTACAGACTTGAACGTTCTAAATTATATACACATTTTAGGGTTGGGTGACAGCTCAGTTGTTAAACTGCTTGTTGCATAAGCATGAGGACCTGAGTTCAATCCTCATGTTAAAAACCAGGTATGGTGGTATATACCTGTAACCCCAGTAATAGGGAGATAGGGACTGGAAGATCCCCTAAGGCTTACTAGCCAGGCACCCTAGGTCTAATTAGTAACCCCTCTGACGTAGATCTGTCTCAAAACAGAAGGTGAACAACTCCAGAGGAACAACACCCGAGGTTGACTTCTGGCCTTCAAATAACATGCAGGTACACACGCATGTGCACTACACGCATGCAAGCACACACACACACACACCCCAAAACAAAAACAAGGAAAAAAAAAAAAAAACTGGCACCAATACATAGCAGTAGCCAATCTGAAAAAAAGGAAAAGAAAATGTTGGAACAGAAAACCTTTAAGTTGTTAAATCCTACTCTACAATATCACCAAGCACATGGTATAGCTGATGCAACATAGTTTAATGGTGAAGAATTTAGAAATTCTTACTTAGTTTTGGAAGACAGATTAGAAAATATTTTCAATATCAAATATTTGGAATTATTCCTTATGTCAAACATAATCAAAAGAGAAAAAATTTACCTTTTCTTCCAAAGCCCTTATTCTTTTCTTTAAGAAAGAGTTTTCTTTCTCTGAATCTTTAAGTCTCTTCTTGATGTCTTCATATGCGGTGACAAGAGCAAAGTGTGAGGCGACCGATTCATCCCCTGAATACACAGAGAGTGGCATTACTGCCTCTCTTCTCTGGGCTTTCTCATGATTCAGAATGCAGATGTCATCTTCTACTAGTGTGTCCATGGCAGCTATGGAGATGAGGTAGTAGGAAGGTTATATATGGCCAATGAACAGGGAAGAAAATACATATTTACAATGTGAGCACTGAAAACTTTCTTTCAGAGGCAACATAGGCTAACTGGTATTGGCACAGCTACCCAGGTCCTAACCCAACGTTCAGGGCCATGCGACTCAGTGGGTAAGTTGTTAAGGCTCAGGAAATATTTATTAACAACCATTTTTACAGTGAAAGGATGGAAAATGATTATAGCTCAAGCACTGAGGTCCAGTACTATCAAGTTCTCTAACATGTGAAATTAGACTGGGAGTATATATGGTTCAGCAGCAGAGCATCTGCCAAGCACGGAGCAGGTCCTGAGCTGGCTCCCTAGCCACATAAAACAAAACTCTAAAGCATTATCTTACTAGAAGAACACATGTAAGAAATTATATATACTATATAGTATAACGTGTGTGTGTGTGTGTGTGTGCGCGTGTGTGCGTGTTGCAATGCAGTCAAATCCTAATTTTAGGGGAGGTGAAAATAGTGCCTACACTATTTGACTTAAATAACAATCCTACCTAAATGGGTAGAATTTATTGAATTTGAGCATCTTCAAAAATCAGCTAAATCAAACACTAATAAACTGCTCTATAAATGAAAGAAATACTTTTAAAGACCTAAGCCTTTTGCACTTTAGTTTTAAACAAAAGTTCTAAATAATTCAATTGTAATTTCTATATTAATATTTACCATTAATCATTTTCTAAGCAGAAATACAAAATAAAACTGCCATAAGCTAGTGTGGGAGACAGGTGTACAGAAAAACATATCGTATAGGTAAGTAATATAGCTGAAACAATACAAAATGCTATGGAGCCAGAGGCATAGGAAGCATGGTTTTCAAAGATGGTACCAAAATGACATCAGTTCACTCCTGTAAGTGAAGAAGTCATTTTGACTACATTTAATCACACTTAAACTTTTTACAGTCTGCTAACTTCTTGGCAGGTGAACAACTGTAATGACAAGTGTGGGGAGGGAGGAGCTGAAAGGGGAGTGGCAGGGGACAGGAGACACAATGGATGGTGGGGAGGGGCCAATTTTGGACCTTACTCTATAAGATCCTTGAAGACAGCCGAGACATGACACTCACACTAAGAGCCCTCACAACTGTTATGGTCTAGTCCCACAGTGGAGGTGTTGGTGTTCAGAGGGCAGCATTATGGAAGGTCCTTAGGTCATACAGGCATGTCCTCAAAGGAGACTCTTGGACCATAATCCAGTCCTCTACCCCGCTTTCCCTATCTTGTGATAGGAGTGACTCCTAAGTGCCCTGCCATGATGGGTCACTTACTACTGCCAGAGGCCCAAAGTCAAGGACCCAGCCATCTTAAGAGTTGAACTTCCAAAATTGTGACCTAAAGGGGTTTCCTTTTCTTCGTAAGTAGCCCATTCACATGTATTTCACTCTAGCAACACAAGGCCAATTCATACAACTACTAATCAACTACTTGGCACTGTGCTGTTTAGAAACATCCATTTTAATTCTCATGGCTCCCTACAAGGTATGAAGTCTTATTACAGCCTATGAGCAAACCAGTCGGGGTCAGGTTAGTGCTCAGCAGATGCTGTCTGGTTTAGAGCAGTTACTAAGAGTTTTCCCTTCACAATGAACCTTTTTCTTTTTTTTCTTTCTTGGGCTAGCTACTGGAACCCTGTGATAAATGTCTTTACCATACCAGCCAGCAGGGGTTAGAAGTTTGATGTTTCTGGATAAGTGTCACTAAACTTAAATACATCAAGCTAATGCTAACATACAACATTTTAAGAAACTTGTTTGTACTACTCTTATTTACTAAAATTTAAAAACTTGTATTTCAATAATCTTTAAAAATTGAGTGTCAAGAATAGACAAATGTAGTCACTGGACTGCTGCTAAAGTTCAGGGGTAGAACATTTCTCTAGCATATAGAAGGCCCTGGTTCACCCCCCACCCACAAGATTAACTGAAAGACTAAATGGTGTTTTAATTACTCCCTTGCAAGGGAGTTAATATTCACTTTCAGAACTTAATCACTATAAACACACTCTCCAAAGACAAGCTGTATTCCAGTGATGCTGTAAGCAAGAGCAAGGGGATGGTAGAAGCTGCCTAACCCAGGGTTGGGCAGAGTGAGGTGGAGACCACTACCTAGAATTGCTTGTAGTTCTGTTAAAAAATACTGGCTATTTGGTTTTACTGTAGATTCATGTAAATCACACTATCTGTGCCATAAATTTCAAGGTGCACTCTACAGTGAGCATTCCAGGTTATTTTGAATCCTATTGCTATTTGAGAACTATTTTCAAGATACAGCACAACAACTGTAAATAGTGTTCTTGACCATCTACAGGCAAGGTTAGTTCTATGTTATCAACTGGTGACCACTTATCTTTTGCATGGAGACATTAACAGTAGAGGAAGTATTTCAACTTTATCATCTCATCATGATACTACTTGAGAGTCAGGTGGAGAACATTTAAATTCTACAAAGATAGCTGTATGTACAAATATTTCATATGTTTGACAATGCCATGCTTTGGAGTAAAAATTAAAATAATACATTAGGAGTATAAATTAAATATAAAGTAAAACAGAAATAGGAAGGGTTAAGGTAAATTATGCTGCCCATTACTGCTGAGAACAGCAGTATTCCAGGAATGATAATGGAGCAGTCTGTTAGATGAGACTGAGAGTGTCTATGACTAATAGAGACATAGCTAGAAAAAGAGGTTCAAGCATTATTAATCAAAATTATTTTAAAAGTTGACAAATTTCCATCTTCACTGAAGTGAGTACTGAGAGGGCCTCTTTCAGGCTCTATATACTGGGACTTGATATACTAGAAAACAAATATCTTCTGATACAAGACTGTTCTTTTTTTTCTAGGAATTCATGATTATCCTGCCATTTTCAGTATTAGAATACCTGCCATTCAGATCATTTGTCAAGTGCCAACCACTAATACTTATACATGCATTTAGCTGGGTACTGTTGACCCACTTTATAAAGCTTGAAGAACAAATCAGAAATAAATCTGGGATATGAACCCAAATAAGTTATCTTCTAAATCTAGGGTTTTTTTTTTTTTTAATACTCTATTTAATATGTATTGGTAAAACAAAACAAGGTCCCCTGGAACTAACTGGAGTTACAGACAGGTGTGAGCTGTCCTGTGGGTGCTGGGAATAGAACCCTGGACCTCTGGAAGAGCAGCCACTGCTCTTAACCACTGAGCTATCTGTTCAGCCCCCTCTAGGAGTTATTTTTAGATTCCGACATATACACAATGAAATATGACCGCCCATATCCCCCCTGCAGTTCTCTCCATGTCCCGCAATATGCCCATACTTTGCAGTTCTCTCCACGGCCCGCAATATGCCCACGCTCTGTGTCTGTTTTTCATAACCCACCCAGTGCAGCTGTGCTGCCCGCATGCGCACGTGTGCGGGCCGTCCGACACTTCCCTCCTTCCTTCGGCTCTTACATCCTTTTCACCGTCTCTACCATGATATTCTGTGCACGCAGGGCTGAGCGTATAGCCTCTTGTTCTCATCCCTGACCCAGTATGCATCTCTCCAGTGGCTGCTGACCGCTGCAAAAGGAAGCTTCTTTGACCAAGGTTGAGACCAGCCCAGATCTGCCCGTGCCTGCAGCAGGGTTGACTCAAGGAGTTTGGGTTGGGTGGTCTGGGTCTGGGGAGATTTTGAAAGTCCTTTTTACAAGCACTAGCAACTGGGCAGATGAGGGTGGGAATCGGGTCAGGTCAAATCTAGGTTCTTCATAAAACACTCTGAATGTTGGGGTTGTAATTTTTCCCAATAAGAATCTAGACTAGGTAGAACTCTATGGTACAATGGCCTAAGATTCAGAAACTCAAATTCTAGTCTCTCATCTGTCACCCTGTCTCTCCATCTCGACCAGATTCGGAGTGTATCATTAAGATACTACCTGCTTATATTGTGAGGGCAAAAATTTTAATTCAAATACAGAATGGGAACTAAAACAGATAAAAAGAAACACACAGTTGTGCCGTAGACTAGCTGAGAAGTTAAATACATTCACACTAAACTTAGCAAGAAAAGGGCTACCAACACCACAGCTGAAGCTGAAGCATAAAGAGGGAGTAAATGTGTCTCTATCATACCTGTGGCGTGTGACGGAGCTGAGATTTGAATTAAGGCCTACTGTCCAATACCCTTTGCAGAGAATATTGTTTAGAATTTCCACTGGCTTTCTAACTCTGAAAAGTTAGGATGTTTTGAGAACCCATTTCATATAGGTCAGTTAAACATTGGGCAAATGAATTCTTATGGAGGAGAACCAGGAAATAACTAGTTACTCCTTTTCTCACTTAAGTAATTAGGGACAGGAATGGCTTCTGTTTCTTTAAAAGGGATGCTCAAGTACCCTTTTTAAAAGATGCCAACACTTAATCTTTGTACCTTAGCAACCATATGTTCTGTAATCCATTAAGTATCCAAGGGCTTAAGCACTATCAGATATGTAATATGAAAAATGCCATTTTCATTTTTATGATCCCGGACACACTGACTCAAGTCCAGAGATCATTTTCTAAGGCCAAGGGATCTTAAGACTCAAGTATAGCACAGTACAAAGAGCAGCCTTCTTTTCACCCCTCTAAAATAATGTATCTCGAGGCAACCAAACACCTACATTAAATATTATTGATATTTTCTAACAATGAAACATAACTTCAATTCCGGTAAGTGCCATTAAAGCTACAGAGGCCCCATTCATAGATGTTTTTAAAAACTGCACTATTTCACTCAGTAAGCATGACAATCATCTGTTAACATTCATGAAACACTTCTGGTACAGGCAGTTACATAGCAGGCACTGTACTTCACCTTATTTTTTTTTCTTGACGAGGTCTGCCTGTGTAGCAGTGGCTAGCCTGGAACTCAGGAACAAGCCTGCCTGTTTCTCTTCAGGCCATGTACCACCATACCCAACGTGGGCTT